AATAGTCTTATATACGATTAATATTTATAGCTGATGGTCAGTTTAGTTATAATAGTCTTATATACGATTAATATTTATAGCTGATGGTCAATTTACTTATGATAGTCTCATATACGATTAATATTTATAGCTGATGGTCAATTTAGTTATAATAGTCTTATATACGATTAATATTTATAGCTGATGGTCAATTTTAGTTGAATTTCTTCACGAGTTAGTAGAATAGACTAAGTTAGACGGAAAGAAAAATTTGTATTTCTCAAGTCCCGCACTGGGACAGCGGTAAGTGTACGGACTTACAATACTAAAAATCCGGGGTTCGATTCCCCGCGGTGGACACAGCAGATAGTCTAATGTGGCTTTGCTCCAAAACAAACAACCATTTCTTAATTCTACTGAAGTAAATGTACTCTTTACTTCTGGTGTTTCTAAAGTAATTCTTTAAGTATTCTTAATGTCTAATTAAATATCTTAATAACTTGAAATCTTTCATTACATTTTGACTATAGCACAAACTGTTACTTAAAGCAAAACTGATAAACATTTCAAAGCGAAAGAAGTAAAAATCTTTCAAATGCCCCTGTGAAAAGATGTTCGTGGAAAAGCAGCGAAGAGATTTAAAAAGCGAACATTGTGGTTTAGGGTTAGATTTGTAAACTGTTAATAGCAATACATCATTAAACACCTACAAAAAAAACACAAAAACATATCGAAATATTCCTGTAAGGTTTAAAAAGATATGTTGGAAAACTAAATATCAATTAATACTAAAACAAATCATATTTAACCGACCCACCCACCTCTTTAATACAATGAAGACGCTCATTTGTCTGCGAAAAGTGTCTTTCTATAGCCGACGCTACGGTAATCATGATGACGTCAGTTCCGGAACCGATTCATTCTCCTCCAAATTGCACGTGTTCGTTTTTGTTAGTGTGCCTGGAATATGTTTATGTGTAATGACTGAGTAACAATTGTCAATTAAAAATAATTTTGTGTAGCTATTGATATTATGACGTAGCTTTATAAATAACTCAGAGTATTAACTCTTAGTAACAAACATTGTAGATTAAGTACTAAAAATGTTATCTGATATCTCTGGCTGTAACTCTACCAGTTGCACTGTCAAGATTCAATTACGTAGCTACCATTCCTGACTTTAAATTTGTTAGTAGTACCATTCAGATCCAATTAGTAGTAAAACTGTTATCTTCCGACGTAAAGTCAGGGATCTAATTGGATCTAACTAGTATTTCTAACATAGTAAAACTGTCACGTTACAGAAAAGATTTTCAGGCTTACGCAAGTTTTGTTTGCTCATGAGACTGCCAAATTATTTATACTTGGAAATAACTAAGTTGTAAATTCTAATTATAAATACAGGACACTTCATACAAGGAGTTACATCTGCTGACAAAACATCCAAAATATTTATATTTGTCTAGCAGATTGCCCATTGAAACATTTCAGAGGTAACTTTTCTAAAAATGTTGATGAATAAATATAAAATGTGCAGTCAACCCAATCCCTTGGATCATAGCGTGGATACAAAATGATTATCTAGTGGGCCGTATTTTGTTATTCCATGTGTTATTTCAAGAAAGTAAATTGCATTGCGTTTGTTTTTAAGCAAAGGAGACTGACTGCAATGCACTGTTGGCAAAAATGTTCGGATTTAGATGCAAGGGGTACATCCAGCACAATAGAGCGCATAGGTTCGCTAAGAAGCCGCGGGGATTTATTCCACTTGAAGCCACCGTTCCTTGTCATTTTACTGAGCGCAAAAAAAAACCCAAAAAAACTCGCTACCGAAGTGATTGCTTTTTGACAGTTGTCATTTCTTTAAGAAGTGTCAAACGAGAGATATTCAATTGAATTCAACTCAGTTTATTCAACATGGTATAATACAATTATTCATCTATATAATATCGACATGAAATATATATATATAAACTGAATAACAACAAATATCGAAACACGTATCGAAACCCGGTTTCTAACGGACATACCGCTGTGCCACTGGGGGTCGCAACAAATATATTTGTTTGTTTGTTTGAATTTCGCGCAAAGCTACATGAGGGATATCTGCACTAGCCGTCCATAATTTAGCAGTGTAAGACTAGAGGGAAGGCAGCTAGTCATAATCACCCACCGCCAACTCTTGGGCTACTCTTTTACGTTTTGCTATTATATATATATAGAGAGAGATTATTCATACACCATCACGATATATAATCGTCCTCGTAAAGACTACGGTAACTGACACAGACATAAATGTTACTTTACGCAAACACACTCGTCACTAACAGTGATATTGCATAAAGACTATTACACCACTCAGCTGATTCAAGTGTCAAGTTTTTCAATTTGTTCTTGCATAATGTTGCTTATTACGTTAAATAAAAACTGCTACTATTTAAAACTTTTATTAAAAGTGCTCACCTTATTTTGGTACGGACCTTAGGTTCAGACACAATGAAAAACATTAACGCATTGCCCCAAATCAACCGATAATAATTAATATCTCGATTTCAATTGAAAGCCCATAGTTTATAAGCATAGCCACAACTGTAAATCCAATTCTATTGAGCTGCGCATGCTCATCTTTATCTTTATTCTTTCCTGCCCCTAGCGTCTTGTTTGTCGTTTGGCAAACAGTAAATTTTCCTAATATATTACTCAGATATCGAATGTATTTAATTATAGATTATTAGGTAAACTAGATGTATTCATTTTTTCACTGATGTAAGTTCAACTATTTCTACAAAGTATCGTGGATAACATATTCTCAGAAACCCTTACATGTGCCAATAATATTAGTTACTGTCAGTGAAACTTTCTATATTTCAATATTTTTAATTATATATTTTTTTTCTCCAAAATTTGTCTTCTGATATTCCACATTCATAGCCATCCATAATTTGTTTAAAACGGATTTTCTTTAACTTTCACTGGTGGTATTCTACCTGTCTCCTGGAGACCCCCCCCCCAGTGGTACAGTGGTATGTCTGCGGACTTGCAACACTAGAAACCGGATTTCGATAGCCGTGGTGGGCAGAGCACAGACAGCCCATCGTGTAGCTTCGTGCTTAATTACAAATGAACAAACTCTAGGAGATATCGCCAGTCAAAGACTCCTTCCCAAGCTGTATTACGTTATGTGCTATAGACAATGCTTAGGGATGTATATTTAAATTTTGTAATGGATGAAATCAAAATTACCGATATATTATTACTTTGCATAATTATTAGTTATTTTTTAATAATTACCTAAATAAAGTCAATTACAGATATGAAATAAGCATTCTCTACAACTGTGAAGATTTGTTCTATTTTCAACCGCCAGGCTTTACCAAAATTATAAAACTCCTCATTCGCGATTTGACATCTTTCAAATTTCTCCTAAACAATGTCAATGACCTAATACACCCATGGCATCACATGTTCCTCCTATGACTATTGACCTGGGGACCATTTGTAAGATGAAAATAAATTATTTATAATGGAAACAGCCAATCTTTAAATAGTAATTTGTTAAGAGCTTTTAGTTTTAGTTTGTAGTAAAACGATCCTCTGTGACCTAGTTTTAGGAAGTTTGGAGAAAGCCTCGTCCAGGCCCTCCATTTAGGCGGGAATTATCTCATGTTTACAGAATCTATTACAGCTGCCTTCATACTCCATAACAATTACTGTAAAAAAAATAAAAAATAGATGTATATAAAACAATGTTTATGCATAAAATTCATACACACTGACGCGCTAAACGCACCAGAACTAACCTGTATGAGATTTTTTGGCTCTTAATAATAATCTATTTTTTTCGACGTCTATGTCCTAGAAACATCACTGAATTACATGCAATTTACTGATTTTTTCCCGGTTTTTGTTTGTAAAATTGAATTTCCTGATGTTTCCCAAACCAGGAACTGAAAATATAAAATTTACTGACTTTCTCCGGTTTCCCATGACATTTAGAATCATGCAATTCTGTCAGCGAACTCTTATATATATAATTATTATTTTTGGCAGTTGATCAAGTTCCAATAGTCCTGTTAATTCTGAATTTAGACACAAGTAAAAGTAACGTTTTTGCTTTAGGACAAATCATCAGATATATTGTTTAGTTGGCTTGTTTTTAATTTCGCGCAAAGCTACACGAGGGCTATCTACGCTAGCCGTTTCTAATTTACCAGTGATAGACAACACCACCCACCGCTAACTCTCGGGCTGCTCTTTTACCAACGAATAGTAGAATTGAGCGTCACATTATAACGTCCCCACGGTTGAAAGGGGGTGAGCATCTTTGGTGAAGGGGATTCGAATCCGCGACCAGTAGGTTGCGAGTCGAGCGCTCTAACCATCGGGCTATGTTGTTTAAGGAAACTTCCCAACTTTTAGCCCAACTGTATTAGTCACATATCTTCAAATGATAATAATATGCAAGAGAATATCCAATGAACATTGGAAGCTTCTAGAAAACTAACAAACGAGTGACTTAAAAAAGTGAATTACTCAGTCATTTTTAGCTTTGTTTCACTATAAAAATTATAAGTTAATTCAAGCCTACACACTTGATGAAAGTCGAGACAAAATCTGGAGTGCGCTACCAGACTGCAGGATAAATGAAAATGACAAATTCACAGGTGGCTTCTGTCCTTGTAGAGAAATATCTTCTCTGATGAACCTAACGTTCTGTACATTATTATGAAAAGAACTATTTTTAAACGTTGCGCTTTATAAAGACACGATACTATCAGATCTTCATTGGACGACATTTTATTTTGATAATGCTATTTTTCTCGGTGTAGTCATCATCACTGTCTACCTCATTCAGAAAACGTTTATGAGAATAAACTCCCCAATATTTCTTCTGGATTTCAACCTCATATAGAACACACCTGAGGCAATATTTATGGACAGATTTCCACCGACTCCCCAGAGTTTCTTCTGGACCTTAACACCACATCCGAGGCCAGCTTTTTGAATAAATTTTCACCGACTCCTCAGCATTTCTTCCACATCTCAACCCGAAATAGAACACGTCCGAGGCCAGATTTATGGACAGATATCCACCGACTCCCCATAACTTCTTCCGGATCTAAACCCCGCATAGAACATATCCGAGGCAAGGTAGTTAGTTTTTCAAATCCTGAGGTGTTATGTTTATTTTATTTTTTACTCACTTTCATTATAGTACGCAAAAGTAGTTAGGGCGATCGTTTAGATACAAGTGATGATTGGCTGCCTCAAGAGAGGGGAGGGGGTAGAGACGAAGTGGAACCAGAGGGCGCGTTGCTAGGCCACCATGACAGGCGGATGTTGTCATGCAGACATGATACTTGACGACGAAAGTTGTCTGCTACCAGAAAGCGCGTTGCTAGGCGTGACATAATAGTTCGAATGTTATTCAATAGAGAAGGTGTTGCTAGGGGCACGTGGTTAGGCTGCCATGACAGGCGGAAGTTGTCATGCTGCCATGACACTTGACTGGCAGATGTTTACTGTCGCCAGAGAGCTTGTTGCTAGGGTCACGTTACTAGGAAGCATATTTCCACGAAGTGGCATCAGAGAGCATGTTAGTATGATGATCATGCAGATAGTTCCCGAGCGAACCACCAGAGGGTGACAATGTGTCATCAACTTTATAGTAACAATCAAAGTTTCAAAATGAATAATTTAATCTAACTTGAATAACGTTGTGTTTACAATTATCACAAATACAGTTTCAATTTATAAGTAAAACAATCTGCTATTTTAATCTTATCAACTTCGTAGTTATCTCTTGTATATTGCGTATGTCTTACAAAAGCAGTCGACGTTTCTATAGGTGGATGATCCTACTAATGACAATGTTACCATAGTTTGTAGGCTCATCCATTGATGAATAATATTTTACCTTATTTGCCTAACATACTTTTTAGAAGTCCTGAAAAGGACGG